AGAATTGTAGCTTATATAGCGTCGGATACATTTAGGACTCTGGTATCTAGTAAAAATGGTGGGAGCATGTTTAGTCACATGTAAATGTAGTTATTTTTTATCGCGACGTTTACCAACGAAGAGAAACAACTAATTGCCTCTGCGTAACAACCATGGTCACTAACAAAATGATAGATCAGTAAGTATCATTGGATATAAACGTGGAAGATCTGTCTGAGATATGTGAGAAAAAATTAGATACATTACTTCTCATTCTCTTAACACATTCGTTTGTGTGAAAAATTACTAATTAGCAATTCATTTATGCATCAATATAAACTATTTTTTTGTCTCATTGCTGCACAGACAAAACAAATGCAGTGAACAGAAATTCAGTTGTTATAAGCACTTTTCGATGCAAGGATTTCTAGCTGAGAATTATGGTACAAAATATTTTCAAAACCTTCAGTATCTGAACAATCCTTTAATAAATATATCACGATCTACACATTGATCGCAGGTGATCAAAGACTTTTCATTCTGGAAACAAATACTATCTTAACATAGAAATTGATCTCTAGGAAAAGATGGCTGAAAAACCTAGATGTCTCCACCGTGTTCTCTGTTTGTGTGTACTAAGACTTAACTGTCGAATTAAAATAATGCTATTTTAATGATAGATGGCGATGACTCATAATAAGTAGCTAAACTGCCAATAACATGGGTTTTTCTTTCTGTCCACCATTCATTTGTGGGAATGTAGTGAATACCTATATATATGAATACGCAACATAAATAGGATACACAGTTTTTTTTATCATTCTGTACTGTTTAAGCTGAGACACAATTTCTATTGCTTTGATATCTTATCAATACGTAAGTAGTGCATCGTATCACATGTAAACAGCGAAGAGAAACAGTTGATGTTTTGACTTGTTTTAGGATGAATTTGAGAGCGATTTTCATAATATGGATAGTCAGCATGTCTCTGGTTTTAGCAACTGCTGATAAATGTCTTAAATTAGGAAAGTCGTGCTATAATACAACGTTAAAATGATGTGCAGAATCCCATTGTGGTGCGGACGGTGTTGTTGTTCACGAAACACCACAACCAGGAGACATTTGTGTATCAGACCTAGCTGTTGGTTAACAATGTCAGTCATGTGAACTGATTGTGAATATTACATTTACTTTTCTTTTTTTTTTACATATTGTTGTCAAACGGCCAAATAAAAAAAAATTTTATCATTGTATTTGGTATTTTTGTCGCTGAATATATGCTCTTGTCTATGTATCTTATTGTTTTAAAACGAAATAAATTATCATTCACTTACGACCATCTAAACAAAATCAAAATACTGTTATAATAAAGCGTCTAAAGCTTTTCTTTTCAAGCGGTGCTTATTTTTTTGTTATATAAAAATCGTTCATTTTCTCATTTCTTGAAGACTTCATTATCAAAATCATTAAATGTATATAAAACATAATGGTTTAGTTTAACCAATTAAAAGTTCTTATTATTGACAAGTATCCACCAGAAGACTTCATCATATTTATACAGGCATCAAATTTATCGAGCTGCAGGGTAATAGATCTTGCCGATTGAACCTCTTTTTTCATATAGTAGTGAATGCAGTTTGATATATGACCTTCACAAAAAGATATACACTATTATGGCGGCTTCTATTCTTCTGTCGAGACGTAGTGTATACACGCGATGAGACTCACAAATATGAAAAATTTTTAGAGTTAAAGAGAACGAATCGAACTGGCTCAATAGTTACCACAAATCACAAATATAACTACCTTGGTATTTGTGAGCGTAACATCCATTGTAACCATATGCCTCGTCGTCTAGAAAAAAAAACATTCGTTTTTATTCGAATGGTGAGTATCTGAGTGATTATCATCATTTCTAACGCATATTCTGTATTATGTGGCTTAGAGTGGTAAATGTGTGGGCTTTTTCGGTCGAGAATTGAGTGCAGCACGATAATCTACATCGACTAAAATACTTCTAATGATCTTTGTGTGAATTTACATTTACATATTCAATTATCACCGGTAATCTTCTCGTCTTAAAATTGTGTCACAAAGGTATCGAATATTGCTTTAGTGTATTATTGAAAAAACATGGCAAGGAAAAGAAATCTAAAAAAACAAATATGATTAACGCTTTCCATTGACTTCGCTACAATTCAACATCTATTCTACACGTATTCAAGAATCGTAGAGCTAAGCTACTTTAAAATAATACCTAATCATGAGGAATGTGATGGTAACCGTGAATGCCTCTAGAATTTTTCTTCTCCTCTAGAAACATTTACAATCATACTCCTGTCGTAACACTTATATTGAGTCGGGTAATACGCCAAAATACGGTCGTATACAGTGAAGTACCGAATGTATGAAATCGTTTCATAGCTACTATATAATCTTCTGTATCACAGATATTATACGATCATTTCGACCATGGTTACGATATGGTAACTAAATTGCAAACAGACACTAATGAACGTCTGCCCTAAAAACATACCATGAAAGCACTCATTTGTCAAATAAGAAATATTTTATTTTTAACTAAAACCGAGTTACAATGCATTTTCGTGACGGAATCACCTTCACAAATGAACTATTTTTTCACTATAAATAACTTTCTTAAGAAGCGACAAAAGATAAATCTCTTGCCATGTTGACTTTGATATAAACCAAATAGATTTATATGTCAAAACCAGAAAATAGAAACGTATAACGAATAGTGATTTTAACCGATCCGGAGTGATATTTCGTTAATAGAATTTTTTTCTCACTGATGTACAAAGTGACATAGACAAAAACTATGCTTTTTTAATGCTATCGACATTGTCCTACAAAATGGTCATATTCAAGCACAAGTAAACAAAAAAAGGAATAAAGAAAAAGGAGAAGAAAGATGGCTTTGAACATCTAACCCGACATTATTCAATATCTGACGAGCATCCTGACGGTAGACCATGACATAGAGATAGGTTCACGTCAGTTTATACAATCTAAATCACCAAGTGACTTTCATTCATCCGCTAGACAATCAGAAATTAGTCGAAACGAAGCGATTCTGACTAGTCTAAACTGTTATATGTGCTTGTCAATACTAGTCCATTTTTTGGAGATTTTACCGTTAATCTATTCAAGAATAGTTTAAATACTGCAAACAATCCGTTTTGTTTTGACTAAGCTGTTCTGATAATTCATTAGACTAATTAGTAATAGAAAGAAGAAGAAGTAGAATGTAGCGTAAATATTTTTTCAATATTTGTATTATGTCTTTGAAATAACCAATATTATTGATTCTTTTTCTAATTTGAGTGGTAATAAGAACAGTCTTTCAAAATTAATACTGTAGTCAAGAATAGGCAACATATTTTGTACTTTCGTATGTAAAAAAAAGTGCAAAAAACTATCGAAGTATTAAAAAGTATAAGAAACTAAAATACGCAATATTTATTTATTAGCAAGAAATACAAATGTATATATTTTTAAATGTGTTACATGTTTAAACTAAATTGAAAATATTTAACTTAAGAAGACATTTAGATAACACAAATTTTATTTAGTTGTATTTTCAAAACTGGCACTAGACATTTATTGGCATGGACTACAATTGATTTTTGCACTGATCATGTACCAGAACTTTTTGAGATAAAGATTAGATAGGACGTACCGCTACGACTAGAAATACGACTAGTTTTTTTTACTTGTCCTTTGCTCACCTGGACATTGTGCTTAATTTTTAAATTTAATTCCACTCAGACAAGTGAATCAACATGTCTGATATGATTTATTTTCTGTCAAAAGTGCATATTTTCATAAAAATATTTATGTTTAGTATTCAATAAAGACTCACGGGAAAAAGTGAAATTCTTAAATGCATGTGTTCGATAGAAAAATGCATAACTAATCATACGCTGTGAGTTTTCATCGGAAAAATTTTATTTTAAAAATTAATAAATGACACGACATTCAATATAGTGTTTTCGTACTGATTCCATGTGTTTATTTTTCTATTAAAGGATTTCTAAGACAAAAGAATACGGAAAAACTTTAAAAACCAACATTGTTCAGAAGACTCATATCTAAGTTCAGAAACAATTATGCATTTTTATGCTTACTGATTAGATATCTTAGATAAAGAAAAACAGTCTATGAAAATTTCATCGAGTTTGGAACTGTGCAAAAGCGTGCACACCGACTATATTGAACATGACTTATTAGAAAGTCCTTAATTGAGAGAGCAGATAAACTATTAGAACAAAGTTCTTCATATAGAACGATAAAGCAAGAACTCTATATTGGTAAGACTAGACTCGACATTATTGAAATCACAAAAAATATAAGTTTCATCTTTTTCACCTAATGCTTACGTTGTTGCCCACTGTACAGTGATAGTGTGTAATCTACAGTTGCGCGAAGATGATGAAATTACATCTAATAACGAAAGTTGAAATATTGAATCGATTTCATGTTATTTGGCTATTGGATTGATAATTTTTGTTTGCTGTACATTACCATTGACACAAATAAATGCTACATGAGAAAAGAATGAATTAGATTTTGTGAAAGTTCTATAATTGATATCAAATTCGCCTTCGATACACGGCTCTAATGATTAAGTGGGGGAGATCGATTTGAAATCAACGTATGGAATCATATTTTATTCAAAAAAGTCACATTACACAATCTTTCCACAAACAGAATGTATTCATACCATGATTTTTGCAATAATATGTGTTTAGTAAAAAAAACAACCATACACAGTTCACAGCGGAAAAATATTTCTTATTATCATTTTTTGTAAAAGTGTTGCATTCGATATTTGTATTCATGTATTTCATTCAAAATCGAAGTTCTGAATAAAAATACAATATATCTCCGTCTTTCATTTTCTTTCTTTTTTTTTTCTAAACAAATCAAGTAGCCATTTCAATATTTATGATTCTACTCTAATACAACAACCGGATAAATAAAAAACTATTTCAATATATTTAATTAGCTTCGACTTCAGTTGAATATCTTCTTGTCGTTACATGTTGATGATGTGAATTTGTTTGTGGTATAGAATCAATTGTATTATTTTGAAGTTCATCAATAAGTTGATAAAAGGAATTTATAAACCATGGTGCATTATCACGTACTTTTTCACGAATAACATTTCCACCAAAACCAATAAAACCATCAGCATTGGCTTCCATATCAGTTGCACCATCACCAATCATTATTAAACGTTTATAATTATATTTATTTTTAAGATATTCAATAACATATCCTTTACCACCAGAATCTGATGTCATTTCATTTTCATCAAAACCAGCATATGAACCATCATTATTAAATAACAATTGATTAGCAAATACATTGGTTAATGGAATATTTAAACATTTAGCAACAGGATCAACAATCGAATGAAAACCACCGGTTATTAAATAAACAGGTATTTGACGTTCGTGTAATAAATTAATAAGTTCAACGATTCCATCAGTTAATTGTGATGGATGATTTATCAGAAATTGTTCTAAACGTTGATGTGTTGGTTGAATAAGATTAAGACGTGCTTGTAATGCTTTGCGAAAACTCATATTACCACCCATAGCATTTCGTGTTATAGCTTCAACTAATGGACCAACTTGTTGAAATTTAGCTAATTCATCAATAGCTTCTTCAACACATACTGTTGAATCAACATCAAAACAAACACAATCCGTATTTAACCATAATTGACGAATCAATTCTTCTTGTTTAGATACTGCTGATGACGAAGCGTTATCTGTTAACCCTTTCGTCATTATATGGTACAAAATTTAAAAAAATACGACCAAATAAATGCGAACAAATAAAAGAATAATTATATGCTCGTTTCTATTGCGTGCTATATGTTTCTGTCGACGTTGATGTAGTGACGAGTGAACAAGAAGAAACGAGAACAATTGTGAAAAATACTATAACACGACCACGCGTTGAAGCTATGGTTGTCAGAATACAGAAAGGAAGAAAAAAAGACGATGGTGCGGTTGCTTGCATACACTAATCGTTTCTATGGTGTCATATGTTAGTGAGAGAGGGATTGTATCGAGTAGAGGAAAAAACAGCTATTTGACCTTCATCTAGAGGTCGTCGTTATGTTTGAATGATGCAACGATGGAATATTTCATCAGATTTTGAGACAAATTGAAATTGTTTTGGGGTATTCCAATAAGCATCAATTTCTTGGAAAATGCACAAATGCAAATTGAATGTGATTTCCGACAAATAATCTAATTACATCTACTTCATTATCAGTTATTACGTAGCCATGAATTGTCTTAAGTTCCCCCTTCCTAGTTCGAAATGGATTTCTATGAAAATTTCTACAGCTGTTAGACACATGTAGATAAAGTCATGCCATTTTTTTTTCTCTTTCAAATATCATCATTCAAGAATTTTCTTGCGATCAAAATTCAAAATATACTGTCTGACTGAACAAAATCGTTTTCGCTATACTTCAAGATATAAAATCAGAGATTGTTTTATTTGAAGAAAAAATGTTCATCGTTCCAGATGAGGAGAAGAGAAATTGAAATTATCGTTTTATTTATTTTCAAAAAGAACAAAACTTTAAAAGATAAAAACAATATCGTTTACTATAACGCAGTATACTGAGAAAAAAAATGTACGCAAAAATCGGTTGCGAGAAAAATACGTCATTTTTCTCATCATTTGATCTACTTATTATTAGACATTAACACAAAACATGGTTCTATCATATGTCAATTGATAATATTAATCATGACGCACCGAATTGCGTTTCTAGCAACACACACATACACTTAATGACGTATAAAGTTGTACTCAATGTTTCTTGGTGAAATTCCTATATGTTTATCTCAAAAATCATTTCTTCAATGAAAATATACTTTGGTGGGGAGAAAACAGTAAAAATCAGTCTTTATTGGAAACAATCATAGATTTTTATCGAACTTTGTTTTTTGATCAATTTTATATTAACAGTCTATTGAAAAGAGATGTATTTGTTCAAAATTTTGATTCTGCTTAGTATTTCATCTGATTGACTCTGTCATAGTTTCAAAAATTAACTGTATACTCGTTCGATAAATATCATTTTACTTGAGTTTGTACTTAAAACAATAAGTAAGAAATTTGTGCCTTTGAGAAGTTATTACTAAAGTATTAGATTAATGTCAATGGTTTTGTAAAACTAAATAAAACTATATTTAGACGATTTTCCTAATAAAAGCAATCCATTGATTTCAAATTATAAATAAAGATTTGCAGAACAGATAAACTAATATTCGAAACATAAAAATAAGATAAAAAATTTTTTAAATCATTTGCGCATAAACCTATATGCAAAAATACTGTTCAATTGGAGGAAATCAATTGCTTTATGACGTAATATATTCATTCATTGTGTGATATATATTCATGACATGCTAGAAAAATGATATATTTTCCTGCAACATGAGAACAAGTTGAATGTGTGTTTTCACAAAGTAATCTTTTATTGAGATCGCATTTTTCAATATTTACCAGCTAAAATTTGCATTCTGGAAATGCAATAAAACATTAACTAAAATGTTTCTAAATAGTTTTTGCATGTAAACAAATCTAAGTTTAAGTTTCTTCTCCATAAAACTAGATGTGTTTTTATTGCTATGTGAATCTATGTGAAAGAGAAAAGTTGATTTTACTCTTCTACTTTATTCATAAGGCCATGGTCACTGTCTCATTTAAAACTTACTTTGTTTTTATCCATAAAAACTAGAAACAAGATATCATGTTATGAAAAACTTCTATGGATGTTATTTTTACAAATAAAAATAACTCGACTCGCCCAATTAGACACATGTTGGCCTAAGTTTTTTTGGTTCCGCACATGTTTACTGCGATACAACAATTACTGAAAAAAAAAAATCATGTTCTCACATAAAAATTTAGCTTATTTAAAATGATTTTATGAATCAAATCAAAAGAAACAGCTTCTTCTTCATTCATTCCGAGTAAATGTGTATCATTAGAGAATTAATCACAACTATCTTCACCAACGAAAAAAAGATGATTGTCTAAAATTGATAAAACTATTTAATTTTTTCATATAGACGTGCATATGATTGCGACCTGTTTATTCATTAAGATTTAGTATTTATAGATATTATTCGTATTTATATCGTCTTATTAATCACGATGTGTCTTTTTTTTATTAAAAGACTCTAGCATGAATATAATAAACTGCTTTAAGATGTACAAAAATCTCACTTGAAAAATCGTAAAGTTAAAGATATCAGAGAGTATCAGACATCGGTCCCGCTTACGATAAAGCTTTATTTTTTTTATCCCGCACATATCTACGCCGAACTCTCTACCTATTGAGAAAAAGCATTCATTATCATTCCAACGA